CTTGGTGGAACTGGTGTATTAATATTAGTAACTTTATCTCACCTGCTGTAACTGGTGTATTAATATTAGTAACTTTCTCTCACCTGCTGGAACTGGTGTATTAATATTAGTAACTTTCTCTCACCTGCTGGAACTGGTGTATTAATATTAGTAACTTTATCTCACCTGCTGTAACTGGTGTATTAATATTAGTAACTTTATCTCACCTGCTGGAACTGGTATATTAATATTAGTAACTTTCTCTCACCTGCTGGAACTGGTATATTAATATTAGTAACTTTCTCTCACCTTCTGTAACTGGTATATTAATATTAGTAACTTTGTCTCACCTGCTGGAACTGGTGTATTAATATCAGTAACTTTCTCTCACCTGCTGGAACTGGTACTGTCACAGTTTTCTTCTGCACAGTTGTCCCCTTGCCTTCACATTCGTTACATGGAAACTTTATATGCATGCGTGTCCCGTGGCAGCGTCGACACGTACTTCTCATGACAAATGGTCCTGTGCTAATAGTTTCCTAAGTGTATAAATTAAAACCTATCTTGAACCTTTAAACAAATTTTCAAACATAAAAAAAATTATTAATTTACTCAGCAGTGAATTACTAACAGAAATAACAAACAAATGCAGCATACAAAAAAGATAAATATCTGAAAATACAGATAAATGGAAGGGAAGATTCCTTGTTTTATCAAACAACTTTCATTAGAATCCAAAGAAAAGGAGAAATAAAAGGCTACTTTTCACTGCCGTCTCCCCCTAGTGAGAACAGGAAAAAAAAATAGAATACAAGATTAACGAAGCAGATGGCTAAAAAAAACTGAAGAAACTTGACTGATTGACAGAAATTGTTACACAGAAACAAGGAAGCAAAGATTAATGTAAAAACAAATTACCAGAGACACCATTGGCATATGACATAGAGATCACAAGCACATGGCACAGATGCAATCAGCATACGACGGAGATTATTAGCATATGGCATCGACACTGTAGACATTTGACAGAAAGATTGTTGGCATCTGGTACATACACCGTCAGTGTACAACAAACACTATAATCACAAGTTCTACTGGCATAAAAAGTAGGCACCATTAGCACAAAGATAATCTACATTTCCACTAGTGGTATACAGAAAACTCTAATTAATCACTTACCTCACAAATCAGGAACTCACGCAAAATGTCTATAAGTTTATATCAATGTATTATATTAAGCTGTTCTAGTTTAATACGAACAGCAAACATGAAATCTAGAAATACGTTAATTCAAGTACTCGCACGTGAAAGACTGTTCTCTGTATTTTGACACAAGTTTCAGAACATAAGTAATTTGGAAATTTGAAGTTCTAAAAGTAAAGAGTAATTAAAGTTCCATGCTTGCAAGTCTACAGATATGAACCATGCATATCGTAACGAGACAAAAATGTTAGGAAGGCCTTGTTAGAATATGGGAAATGACCCTTGGTGGGCAAAAATTCTGGATTTTGTTTGGCCTTGGAGTTTTAAATATACAAGTTCTTTGCTAGATATTTCTAGATTTTTCTGTTGTATGTTATAAATATGTGCAGATACAGAGATACAGTGAGAGATAATTAGACAGATCTAGACTTAGTGATTGGCAGTTTAGCTGTGACGGGCGATTTCTAAAGAAGTTGAAGTTAAGTTAGAAACCGATAAGTTAGTGAAAGTAAAGTTAGACTGTTTGATTGTTAGTTTAACCATAACGAGGAATATTTTAAAGTGAATTCCACAGTTTAACAGAGATAAGGAGAATAATTTGTCTTGTCAAAGGGTTTTCTAAAGTAATTGAACCCATCTGTGTTGACTTTGATGAAAAGGAGACAAATATTTAAAGTTCTGGATACAACTGTGGTAACTCGTGGAGAAATGTAAGTGAATTTATTGCAGATTGTGCAGTAAGAAACAGAGTAGAGAAAAATAATTTATCTTGTCATTTGGATTCTAAAGTAATGGAACCAGCTTGTGTGGACTTTTTACAAGAAAATAGACTTTAGAGTTTTAGATATCACTGTGATATCTTGTATATATCTGTGATATATACGTTTGACATGTTTTGAATACGTTAACTTAAAACAAGTGGATTGTGTGTTGTCCGTATATTGTTCAAATTTATCGCCAACAAGTCACAGACTCCTTCTGTAAAAGAATCCTAGCTCATATTCAAAACCTGACACAAGAACTCTTCCAACAGAGGATAAGGGTTAACCATACAACACAGTTTATCACACACAATGTTCTGTGTTTATCACACACAAACATCGTGTTCTGTGTTTACCACACACAAACATCGTGTTCTGTGTTTACCACACACAAACATCATGTTCTGTGTTTATCACACACAATGTTCTGTGTTTACCACACACAAACATCGTGTTCTGTGTTTACCACACACAAACATCGTGTTCTGTGTTTACCACACACAAACATCGTGTTCTGTGTTTACCACACACAAACATCGTGTTCTGTGTTTACCACACACAAACATCGTGTTCTGTGTTTACCACACACAAACATCATGTTCTGTGTTTACCACACACAAAAATCATATTCTAGTTTACCACACACAAACATCGTGTTCTGTGTTTACCACACACAAACATCATGTTCTAGTTTACCACACACAAACATCATGTTCTGTGTTTATGACACACACACACAAACATCATGTTTTAGTTTACCACACGTTCTTCCTCTCTATGATAAGTTGAACTTGATAAAGATATGATAAAACATATCTACTTAAGCGTTTTCAATCTTTTCAAACTTTAATTTTAAACTTCATGCAGCTGAAACACTGTGCAATAAATAGTAATTGAAGTTGAAGTCATGACAGTAAGATAATAAAGACCTCTAACCACATTTACTTTCAAATTTTATATTGAGAAACAATAATATTTATGAATTTCACTAAACTTAGCTTGCTTCTTTCATCAAATCATGTCCACTTTTAACCCTAGCAATAACTGCTTCATTTCTTTACCTTCTTGAAAATTAACACAGAAGAAAAGATTTTTAAACTCAATTGCCCTGTTCTGATATCCTTTCAATATTAATGGCCAACTGATTAAGGCAACTTCATGAAATGTCAACCGAACTAAATTACAGGAAAAAAACAACACATATATAAATAGGCTATCAATGTATTCATTCCTTTATTGATAGTAAAACTGATTATCTAACATGTCGACTACTTTCCTGGAAATGTTTTAATGAACATTTAATGAACTTCACACAACATTTTGCTAGAATGGTACCGAAAAGAGTTTGTGGCCAAAAGTAACAAATACATCAATTTCCTTGAAACAAGACAGGCTTTTTGTAAATAAAGCTTGAAATATTTAAACAGTATTACTTGGAGACCACAAGTAACTGAAGTTCTTAAACTTACTAGTTTGATACTTCCCCACAGACAGTCAACAAACGAGAGAATTTATTTAAACATTTACCGACATTCTGACAACAGGAAAAATTTAAAAATTGTGGTTAGTACTCACCATCCCTGTTCCATTACAGTACGGGCATCTGATTGCTTTCGTTCCAAGTTCGCAACGAGAACCATTACATTTAGGACACGTATCGATAACATTAATGGTGACATCTTTATTCACACCTCGTGCTGCTTGTTGGAAATTTAGCTTCATAATAATCTGTAGTTTGTAAATAATTAATCATATTAATCTTTTCAATGCTTAAATAAAACTACAAAACACCCATGTTAATACACAGATGTACAAAACACCCACATTAATACAGAGACGTACAAAACACGCACATTAATGCTGTCTTGTTTATAAATCACATACACAGACATATAAAACACCCACATTAATACAGAGACATACAAAACACCCACATTAATACACAGATGTACAAAACACCCATATTAATACACAGATGTACAAAACACCCACATTAATGCTGTTTTGTATATAAATCACATACACAGATGTACAAAACACCCACATTAATGCTATCTTGTATATAAATCACATACACAGATGTACAAAACACCCACATTAATGCTATCTTGTATATAAATCACATACAGAGACGTACAAAACACCCACATTAATGCTGTCTTGTTTATAAGTCACATACACAGACGTACAAAACACCCACATTAATACACAGACGTACAAAACATCCACATTAATACACAGATGTACAAAACACCCACATTAATGCTGTCTTGTATATAAATCACATACAATATTGGATTTTCATGTTATTTATAATTTGTTTTAAAAATAGCTGAACAGTGTTGTTTTCTTCATATTTTATTATAAAACATAAAGTTGGTAGTTTTAATAAGAGTTAATTAGTCATGTTAAGTATTGGTATTAGTTGGGAAAATAAGTAGTTCCATTAATGTGTGTGTTTTGTATATCTGTGTATGTGATTTATATACAAGACAGCATTAATGTGGGTGTTTTGTATGTCTGTGTATGTGATTTATTACAAGACAGCATTAATGTGGGTGTTTTGTACATCTGTGTATGTGATTTATATACAAGACAGCATTAATGTGGGTGTTTTGTATATCTGTGTATGTGATTTATACACAATACAGCATTAATGTGGGTGTTTTGTATGTCTGTGTATGTGATTTATAAACAAAACAACATTAATGTGGGTGTTTTGTACGTCTGTGTATATGATTTATATACAAGACAGCGTTAACGTGGGTGTTCTGTACGTCTGTGTATATTATTTATATAC